CCTCTCCTTTCCTCCCTCTCTCCTCTCTCCTCCCTTTCCTCTTTCTTCTCTACTCCCTCTCCCCCACCTGTCCCTCTCCCCTTCCCTCTCTTTCCTCTCCTGTCCCTTTTCTCTCCCTCTCCCTGTCCTTTTTTCTCCCACTCTCCTCTCCCTCTCTCTTCTCTTCTCTCTTCTTCCCCTCCTTCTCCTGTCTCCTCTCTCCAACTTGGCCCTCTCTTCTCCTTTCCCCATCATCACCCTCTCTCCTCCCTTTCCTCTTTCTTCTCGCCTCCCTCTCCCCTTCCCTCTCCCTCTCTCCATTGATCGCCAAGGTCCCTTCCAGCTCTGTTTATTCTATGTCCCGTATTCTGTGTTCCCCCTCTCCCTCTCCTCCTCTTCCTGCTTCATTTTCACGCCTGTTCTCTTCTCCGATTCCTTCCTTCCTTCCTTCCTTCGCAGTCTCCTCTCTGCCTGCTTCAGGAGCACGGAAGCCCGGCGGGACCTCCCCCAAAGACGCGAAGCCACTTCCAGACATTCCAGCCATCCGGACTCAGCTTTTCCTTCCTAAAACCAACCTGTTGGAAGGAGATGGAGGAGATTATTGTATTTGTCCAACTCTTTTCATCATAAGGGGAGGGGTGGACAAAAATAACTTTCGAGGTGTAGCCAGGCAAAGTGACCGATGGAGTCTGGGCAGGCGGCCGACGGTGCCGTCCTGACCTCCAGGTACTCGTTTGGCTTCTACATCTGTAGTTCCCGTCACACCGGATCCGGATCCGCCATCGTCCTGTGACGTCAGCCGCTTTCACGAGAGGCGTGAAGATCTTGAGATGTTTCCTCTGAGCTGGACTCGGTTTCCCAGAACTCCTTAAAATGGGGCTCGAGAAAGGAACGGAAACACGGATTCTCCCGAGGGCGCCTTTTCCAGAGGCATCTAACTCCCTTTGTTTCTCCTTGAAGACGTTTCGCTTCTCCTCCAGGAAGCTTCTTTAGTTCTGACGGAAGGATTTTGATCCCTTGCGGTCCTCTGGTCATTGATGATCTTCCTGAGACTCGTTGAGGCCACTTCGGAGGTTTATCTGGGCCCCGAATCGAGAGTGCAAATGGGGATGGCTCTTTTTTGGGGGGAACTGCTGAAAGGACCGTGTTGTACAGTAGATAGGAGATGGGTGGTGTGGTATCCCTTCCCCCTCTGGAAAGAGGGTTTGCCATTTTAACCTAGATGACCTCTTTGAAACTCGGATTGTGGGTTAAACGCTGGTCAGGGACTAGCCAAATACAAAACACGGGGAGAGCATTTCTGCGGGCAGAGAAATTATGGATCTATGTTTTCCTTGGGGGGGGTGGGTGGCTTCTCGCCATTCACAACTCACAAACTCTTCCACCTGGGTGGGCCAAAAGCTTCGGCAGGCACATCTGGATTTGGCTGTGGCTGCAGTTTCTCTCCATCCACAATGGACCTCTGCTTCTGAGCAGCCCGTCCGAGCCGAGCTGCGTCCACGCCTCCCGACATCATCTGCTCGTGCTTTGGAGGAAGGTTGAGAAATGGCTTTTGATGTGCTGTTTGTTGCGTGGTTGTCTCTTTCCCTCCCCTCCCCTCTCCAATGGGTGCCACCACACCCAGATAAGAGTGTGGGATAGAGCTGAGAACCCCACAGCGTTTGGTTTGCCGAAGCGTTGGTTGCGAAATGAAATAAAGGCGTTCGGCTCCGTAAAACCGGAGAGAAATCAGGGTGGGGTCCATTTTTTTGCAGCGTTGAGGTTGAAGAATCAGAATTCACTGGCTTCTAGGGCAGGGGTCTCCAACCTTGGCCACTTGAAGACTTGTGGACTTCAGCTCCCAGAATTCCTCAGCCAGTCTGTTCTTTGGTGGAGCACCCACTACTTCTGGTGGCAAGCCGTTCCGCTGGTTAATTGTCCTCACTTTCTCCTTAGTTCTAGGTTGCTTCTCTCCTTGGTTAGTTTCCATCCGTTGCTTCTTGTCCTGCCTTCAGGCGCTTTGGAGAAGAGCTTGACTCCCTCTTCTTTGGGGCAGCCCCTGAGATGTTGGAAGGCTGCTATCATGTCAGCCCTAAGGGAGGTGTGACGTGTGTGCTTGGCTTAGAATTCTTGCCCAGTCACAAGAGGCATAAGCTTGATCTCCCCCAAGATCCTGAAATGGTCTAGGGTCTCCTGCCTGAGCAAGGGGTTGGACTAGAAGACCTCTAAGGTCCCTTCCAAGTTTGTTATTCTGTTATCCATAGAGTTGGCTGTGGCAAGTTGTCATAAATCGTTTGGAGGAAAGTCTGGCAGGAACTGGGACCAGAGATGATCAGCCATGGAGCTTTCAGACTTTTCTGCTGGGATGGATGGATGGGTGGGTGGGTGGATAGATGGGTGGATGGATGGGTGGGAGGGTGGGTGGATGTGTGGGTTAGTGGATGGATGGATGGATGAGTGGGAGG